CAACGTTTGGCAGAGTCAATCGCTACAGACCTCCAAACTTTATGTGGCCTTCAGATTAGCTCAAGAACAGCGTAGAGAGCTTCATGGAATGGGTTTCCATGGCTGAGTAGCTGCATCCAAGTCTTACATCACCAAGCGCAATGCCAAGTGTCGAATGCAGTGGTGTAAAGCACGTCGCCACTGGACTCTAGAGCAGTGGAGACGTGTTCTCTGGAGTGACGAATCACGCTTCTCTGTCTGGCAATCCAATAGATGAGTCTGGGTTTGGCAGTTGCCAGGAGAACGGTACTTGTCTGACTGCATTGTGCCATGTGTAAAGTTTGGTGGAGGGGGGTTATGGTGTGGGGTTGTTTTTCTGGAGTTGGGCTCGGCCCCTTAGTTCCAGTGAAAAGAACTCTTAATGCTTCAGCAGACCAAGAGATTTTAGACAATTTCATGCTCCCAACTTTGTGGGAACAGTTTGGGGATGGCCCCTTCCTGTTCCAACATGACTGTGCACCAGTGCACAAAGCAAGGTCCATAAAGACATGGATGAGCAAGTTTGGTATGGAAGAACTTGACTGGCCTGCACAGAGTCCTGACCTCAACCCGTTAGAATACCTTTGGGATGAATTAGAGCAAAGACTGCGAGCCAGGCCTTCTCGTCCAACATCAGTGTCTGACCTCACAAATGCGCTTCTGGAAGAATGGTCCAAAATTCCCATAAACACAATTTTGGAAAGCCTTCCCAGAAGAGTTGAAGCTGATATAGCTGCAAAGGGTGGGCCGACATCATATTAAACCCTATGGATTAAGAATGGGATGTCACTCAAGTTCATATGCGTATGAAGGCAGACGAGCAAATACTTTTGGCAATATAGTGTATCTGAGGGTGGCATTTTAACAGCATAAATGTTAAATGTCATACTTAAATTATAATGTATAATTATAATAATAATTCATAAATATTCTTTATATTATTTATTATAATATTTATGTTAAGATATTCAATAAAGTGTGCACTTATTTTTCAGCCAAAATACAAAACTGCAAACATTTTTTCAACGTAATAATCTAATAAAATGTCTTTGTGTATTGGTTTTATTTTCTTTTACTGCAGAAATAGTTCCTACACATTTATGTATTCAGTGTACTTTCTAAAATCGTATTCTGAATTGTACCAAAATAATCAAATCAAAATCAGATTGTGGTGAAATGTGATATTCCTAAACAATTATAATTAAATCAAATCATTGTGATTAACCCTCTTACATCAGTGGTTCCCAAACTAGCATATGCGTTCTCACAGGGGTTCACATTATGATGATGGGCGTATATCAAGAAATTCTCTCACTTACACTTCATTTAATTTTCATTTCAATATAGCACTGCATACTTTTACACATGGTGGGTATGTATGAGTGATGAGTGAGTGTGGTATTTATAACATCCAGCACATGGCAAACCTGCGCTCTAATAATAAGGTATTTAGTTCTTTATCTGTCATTATTATTTGTATAAACAGCTGCGTTGGAGAAAAAAGTGTTTCGCTCCAACCCCTTTTGAGAGTCGTGCATTTATGAGAAACTAATGACTGTTGAGGTAATTCATTAGTTTATCTTTCACTAACTGTCGTAAAGGCATGTAAAGTCCTTGTTAGCTGGATATTCAAGGTACTTCCACAGTCACAGGCAGCAGTTTGCAGTTGTAGTGAGTTATTAGTTTGTAGCCTGCTGTGATTAGTGCTTAGCCATCAGCATTTGTTTATGTCTGCAGCTTCATGTTGTAGCACTGTAAAATGCTTCATGGATGATGTTACTGCAATGTACATGATTTGAGGCATGTGTTTGCTGTTCATTTTACAGCCATACACTGTCTGGGTGGGTAGGATGGCCCTACTTTTCCTCCCATCACTCAGCGCGATGCTAGCCAGTGCAGGCATCTGTTAGTTGACATAACAGAATTGGTGGTTAGCGTTCTCCTCCAAGGGTGTTCAGCTGACTAATGATGTTGCAATAGTGGCAATTCGAAAAGATACGGTGGCTCGCTTGACACGACTCGGAGGTGGCTTGTGTTTGCCTTCACCCTTCTAGTGCTGGTGGTACTGTGTGATAAATGACTGATAAATATCAGTCATTCATTCTGGGGCCTTTTTGGTGCCAAAAAAGTGCTAATGCCTTCAAATAGTATTGAATTTGATCTTTTCTTGCTGTATATCCACAAAGGAAGTGATCAAATAAACATGATTGAAACATTATAACAGTGTATCATTAATGTTTTTTCTAATTATTTAAGATAAAAACAGGACACATTTGAAACCAATGATTCCTATATGGGTCATTTCGACCCTTTTATGCATTTGTGTAGTTTTTTTAGGTCATGCATTTTAGGGTTAAGGAGAATTTATTTTACACGGCCAAATGTCTTCCTTTTTGATCGTGGTAATATGCATGTGTGAGTATGTACAGAGTGAGAGGAGGTAGTCATTAGGGGGTATAACACATTTTCCTTCCTCACTGAGATGCAGTGGTTAATATTTCTTTTCCCTGCCTGCTGGTGTATGGTCTTGCACTGAGAACAGACATTTTAGCAGCAAGAGAAAGAATCAGAATCAGAATTTTTCCATTTAGAAGGAAAGATTTTGTCTTTTCAATGATATCATACGATGAATCATGCTTAATTTGACCTAACCAGGTAACATTTTGATCAATTTTCATTTCAGGTTGACCTTGAATCTGTAGAAAATATTACATGAAAATGACACGGTCCATAAAAGGTAATCAGAGATCATCTTATGTAAGTATTTTGCAGACATTTAAGTCATGATATTAACATCCTTGTTTAGGGCTATGCACAATGTAATGCAGTGTTAGCTCTTAAATGCTGTAGCACCACTGGCCTAAGTGAAGCTGGAACATTGGTTTGCAGCTCAGTAGCCGTGGCACAGCATCCCATCAGAGCAACGGAATTGGAGAGGGGGGCCTGGCGCAGCCTCTTTCATTAGCATTGCTATATGGGGCTCCAGCCATCAATGCAGCCACGCAGCAGCTAAAACACAACTCGGCACGGCTGCCTTTGGCTGAAATTACTACACCTACACACCGGCAAAGAACATCAAATCCAGAGAGCGAGACTCACGCCAGCCCAAGTCAACAAATAAATTGTTTCATGAGCCCAGAATAAGGAAAAGAGAGAAGACATGGAGGGAGCTGGAATGAACGGAAGCAAACAAGAGAGGAGAGGCAGCAGGAAGACAGAGGAGCTGGAAGCAATAAAGGAGAGACCGTCTGAATGAGAGAGTGATTCTGAGAGCCATCACCCTGTCAGCTACGAATTAAGGAGAAGAAGATGGGAAATCAAGATAGCAGCAGTGAACTGATAGTGAGCTGTGAGTGACAGAGGGAAAGTGCTTTTCCCAAACATTGAACTATATACCAATAGACTGAACTAACACGTTTCACAATGTGTGGACATTACGGAAATGTGCCATGCTCTAATGCAATTTGTGTCACATAGCAGAGTGTTGGTAATAGACTTTAACATTTAGAAATTCTGGGAATGAATCAAAGCAAGCAAACTCAATGCTCTATTTAAAAGACTAGAGAGTAGGGTATTGGGCAAACACTTAAAAAGACATGAGAGTTTTTAAAGCTTGTTTAATAGAGGCTTATTTAAATCAGGCCTAGTCTCTGTATTCCAAGCCGATACTTGGTACCAGATGCCCTAATTTCAAGAAGAAAATATGTCCATTTGATCTAATGCATTTCTTCACAACAAAGTATATTAAAACATGAATCTAAGTCTGTTCTTTCCAAGGTATGTCAAATCCATTTGATCCATTTATTTAAAGTCCCTATTTGCAAATGAGGCACACTTGCCATGTTTACCAGTGCGCTATGGTACGACGCTTCATGGGTACCAAATGCATGACGGTATCATGCTGTCAGGCATATCTATCAGGCAATGACTGGTTGTATTACAGCCAGTGTTAGAACTAGCACTGAAGAGCTTTTCGCCAAACACGCATGAATCCTTTTTTGAATCTTTGACTTATTTCTTGATCATACTCCAAGTGGCTGTGATTTGCTGGGAACATTTGTCCCTCACAATGAAAGTCAGACTCAACAGTGCACTGATACTGTTTCAACTGGAATTTGGTGTGGGAGCCATACCTTAGTCATGCAAGGCAACTATTAAGACTACTACCAGAGCGTTTGGTAGCCAAGAAATGCCTACTTTAACAGGAAAGGGAAGGTCTGACTGACACGAAAACGACAATTAATGTCCATTAACATTAATGGACAGCTAATTGTCATGAAAGTGCTACAACAAAAACAGACCATTAGCATTAAACAAAGTGCCAGCAAACACAAACTAACATCTCATCAATTTGCAAATAACTGCATTACACAAAACTCTTGAATAGTTCAAAGACAGGATGCTGTTATATCTTGCTCTGAAATGCTCATTATGATCACAGTGTGCAGACCAGGCAACTCTGTGCTACTGGTGACTGGCTAGCATTTAGCTTGATAAAGGTTTGTTTCCCATTGAATAGAAGTGTGTGCACATCGCAGTGTGGAAAGAAAATGAGACATTAGCTTAAAAGAATTCCCATAGTCGTGGCCACCTGAGCACACAATAACATCAGGTGGTCTGTGTACTTCTCTGGATAAAGCATTTTAGGCTAAAAGACCCTAAACTACTGCACTAGTCTTCAGATACCTTTTACTGTTTCAAAAAATTAGATTTCCCTATAAATGGTGTCAATCACACAAACAGACAGTTCATTTGAAGAGATAGTAAAGCCCTCAAGAGCTACCTGGAAAAGGCCTGCATTTAAAATGAATGGGCTAATGGGCACAATGACCACTGGTTGATATACAAACTGATTACAGGAAAATGATAAAACTTTTGGACGTAAGGCAGGTGTAGTTGTATACACTTGCAGGCATACTGCATGTAGCTCTGGATGACTCTTTTGGGAAGCACAGAGGAAGAAACAAAGCAATCATTCTTACCTGGGACCAAAGAGCTCTCCACGACTACAGACTGCCCAAGCCGTAGCAATGTGATGATTATAAAGGCTGTGGCTCCTGACCATGCAATCCGCATGATGCTTACTGAACTGGCATCCCTGGAGTCCGCTCTCCTTCCTGATTCATCTACAAACACAGGCAGAAAAAGAAACAGACTGAAGATTAATATACATTAGAATTCAAAAGAAATTTATATCAGTTTTTCAGGATTGCCTTTGAGACATTATGTGAGGTACAATATCTGACAGTTATCAAACTCTTATATCTCCTCGTTTTTAATTGATGACTTCAACAGTGTTTGACTAAGTGAGACATAAATTAAGTATGGTCAGTGTGAGTAATGTAGGGCCATGTGATTTTGAACAAATATCATATTGCAATTTAACTGGAAAGTCTACTGATATATTACATGCACACAGTGCACTCACTGTGGCAAAGTTAAACGCTAGACTGGATTAATTTGACTACAAATTATTTTGTGTTAGTAACGAAATAATAAGTAAATGCACTGATTCACCAAAACATTGACAAAACACTAATTGAGAACATCTGTCAGGATAAAACCTGTCAGAACTCTCATTTACATATTGTAGACTTTTTCAAAATCAACATGGCAGAGGCGAATATGTTGTTAACAATATATTGTTCAATCCTGTCATATCATGGCACAGATGCAAATGATAGTAGAAACTTCTGCATGAAAATGGCATTTTCATGTGGAAATATATTAACTGAAAGAGCTAATCAGGCATACACAATCTAGCTGGTTTACTCTGCACTGAGACAGTCATGCCATTACCAGCCTTTTTATCTGATTTTTCAAACCTTCTCATCAAACTAAATGTTTGATACGATTACAGACCACACAGAAATATGAACACTTTCAAATAGACTTTAGCAGGTTATGGTTTCATTACAGTATTAAAAAGTTTTAAAAATAAACTTCTAATACATTTTATCAAATTTTAAAATCGCTGTATCACTGACATGCTCTATAGTCTGATCTAAGGGTTTCACATTTGCTGTTTCTCCTGGTAACCACTGTCAGTGTTCAAAATCAGGCATCTAGGTGTGTCCTCTCAAAGTGAGCAAGGGAGGGGCTTAAAGTCTGCACACATCTACATTAAAATTACTAGATTTTTAGTCTAAAATTGCTTATAGGTTGTAGAGGTTGCAATTTGGGGGGTAATTTGTCAGAGGGCTGCTGCAACAGGCATTTAAAAATAAAGCAATAAGCCAGGAAAGGCTCTGTGGTACTGTTTTATTCTCTTCTCGTTGTGCCTAAGAACACCCCTTACCCAAGGAAAAATCACTGTAACATACTGTAACCCCCTACTATATAGTGCAGTGTTTAAATTTCAGTCTGCCTATTCAGCCTACAGTAGTTTAGCCCCGCCCATTCATGCAGAAGTTATAAGGAGTGTTTCAGCCTGGACAGCACAGCCAATCAGAACAGAAGTTATTTATACATACCAGTCTTTAAGACACAGTAATAAAAAAACAGCCTGTTTAAGAAAGGCTGGAAAACAGTCACGTAAAAATAAATTACACCTGTTTTCTGCACATGAAAGTGTCATAAAATGACCTCAGGGTAAAAAATAAAATAGAAGCAACACAGAAGACGAGTCCTTTAATACTACTTAAAGTACATTTAACCAAAATATGCAACAGGAATGTATTTCTTACTTTTTCTATTAATTATTATTTTTTCTATAATTTAGTAAACAATTCAATTCACAGCCTAACACTGAATGGTTTAGCTTGTTAGACATGTTTTAGCCTGTTTAGCCTGCTATCTTTTATTCTAGATGTGAAGAAAGTTAACCCCTCTCTGTAAACAAAACCAGATTTTTACTTCATCAATTAATACAATCGGTGGTCCATGTGAGGAGCATCACAGTCCATTCAGCATAATGGCTTTTAGTGACTTGGTTCCTTATTACAACAGTGTTGTGAGTGCTGTCATAGGTGTGTGCATAGTGAGTACTTTACAGTGACTTAGCTCAGCTAATCTGATTTTAGGAGCAGAACTACCCGTTTTATATTTAAAAACTTTCACTTATCTGAGCCAAACAAATCTGTGTAGTATATAACTAGAGCTCTGTAGAATCAGCACATTTTTAGCACATACAACAGTGTAGACTTAATACTGTGCTCTGAGCTGACCACAAAACATGACCACATCCCGTTCCCCAGACAGACAAACTCTCACTCAATTTCTAGTTTCTCTGCTTCCCTCTGCTTCCTCCTCCTGACCATAATGGCATTGCTGTGGAAGAAGCTCCAGGATTGTGGACTGGCTACGGAATAGCTATTCTTGCACTCTTATCATAGAGTCCAGAGTAAACACTCTCTCACTTTCTCTTTGCGAGTGTTTCCTGGGCAGAGAATTAGAGTTGTGGCTGAGTGCGGCTCTATCAGATTTGAGCTATGGGCCGACTCATTGTCACTCTCCTCTCTTATCGCTCCTTATTTCCCCTCAGTGTTGCAGGAGCCTGATAGAATTATGTATTGTGTCTCTCACAATTGTGCAATTTGCATGCAGTGATGACAGGCACATTTGCCACTAACTGGACGATAGAGGGCAAGTATCATTTTATCCTCCTATCCCTTTTTTTCATTTTCTCATTCATAATGTGCACGGCTGCCTATCCTACCAGTGTCCCGTTGAGCGTGGGGGAGAGAGAGAGAGAGATTGAATTCTCTCTGATAATTGTGTCAGATAGGCAGCCAAAGCACCTTTCACAAACAATCAGATAAATACCCAATTACCAAGCAGGAGATGTCTGTGACAGGAAGGAAGCAAAGGCCTTGTGGAGGAGGACTAATGCAGGACAAAAGATGGCCTCCTAACCCTGCACCTAGCAGGTATAGCTACAGACAGCTAAGAGTAATTATTCCATTTCTTTTGATTAATGAATGGATTGATTCAAGATAAAGGAAGATTTATATGTAACACCTCCTTCTGCTAAATTACATGCATGTCTATGGAGCCAATCAGTGGCCAACAAAGCAAAATAGGTAGATCTGTGTTTCAACTGGACACGGAACGAATCCACCGTCTACCCACAATCCCATGCCACACATTTATGCTATTTATCTTGAGAAATACTGAGTAAAAGACATTATTTCACAATTCTAAGCATCTTGCATGAATGACAATATGCAGTTCATTTTACAGGACCCATATTGTGGAAAACTTCAGTATCAAAGTGACATTGTATATAAACATGTTTAAAACATACCGTTCACTCACAGCCCACACAGTCCATTTTTGGAAACTAAGCTGCCAAAACAGCCTGTTTTGAAATCATGGTTTCTGGAATGTCACAAAAACCAACGTATTTACACATGTCCACCTATTAAGTTTAGTCTATTTAGCCGCCCATTCATTTGAATAAGGTACAATACAGGATAGGCTATCAGAACAAAGCTCATTATTATCAGTCTTAAAGGCATGGTAACTAAAACAGCTTGTTTAATTCTGAGAGACAAACAGAGGTTGGAAATGTACAAATGAACTATGACTGTTTTGGTATATTAAACAATACTAAGGTTATAAGGGGGCCTCATGGGGAAAAAATCAAATTAAAAATTTAAAATAAATAAAAATGAACTTGTTTTAAAAAAAACAAGTAATTAAAACATGCAAACTGATGACCTTTTAGATCAGGGGTTTCCCTACTCAAACACATCCTGTAAACCTGCCAATTAACAGAGGAATTGAATCATCTGTGTCTGAGAAGCAAGATCATCAAACTATGCTGGACACTGGCCCGTTGTGCACCCCTGTTTTGGAGTTTACATACAAAACATTTAAACGTTTTAGATTTGAAAATAGATTATGTAAAACAGTCAGAGGTGCTGAGGAGTCAGAGGTGATCTGAAAAGTCAAAGGTGAAACAGTACACCTGCAGCGAGAGTTACCATATTGTCATATGTTTAATGGCAAATAACTAACTAACGAACTAACTAAAAAAATAACTAATAAATAAGTAAAAAATATTGAGAGGAATAATGTCATCTATTTTCTAAAGTAGTTCAGTTTCTTGCCCTTTACAGTGTGCAGGGTTTTGTTCCATTGTTTGTCACTGAAATAAACTGAAACACAATAACATCTTTGACCTGCATGATGTGATAAATACTTTCGAAAAATACTCTGATAATAATAAATGTGACAAGAGGAAAAAAAAGGAAAGAATTATAAATCAATGTATGGCACAAATCATAAATGCAGGACGGGTCAGTGCTTCATTACTGGATTCTGTTCCTTTAAATATACATTAAAAATTAAGTTCAGATTTAAACCTCATAAATGTGGGTCACAACCCAGGAGCACCTGTGATTAGTCAGACTCATATGTTCATGAAGTGCAAGTAGACAGTGGTGCTACACAGTTCTCAAACATTCAAAATTCAAAAAATGTCTTTACCGACGTAGCCGCTCTGTTTGAGCTTAGTGACAACACAGTATCACTGGTGTGGGAGATTATATGGAACAGTCACTGTCAAAAGTATGTCTTTAATAATATTGGCTATATACCTTTATGACAACCACCTCAAGGCCTCTCAAATGTATGTAGCGAAGCATAAGGTACATCTAACATCTAAATGGCCTCCTCCCCCATTTTACACTAGTGGCAACAGTTGCTCATATCAGCTATTTTGTACAGGATGGATGCATCCTCCTATATCACTGAAAAAAAATCTTTTTTGCTTTTGCGTTTACAAAAACGATCTGATTCTTAAAGCCTGAAGTACAATTTGGAGCATGATTCAAAAAGAAGATGGATCTAATTGCATGTAAATTAAAAAGACACACTTCAAGCCTTCCAAAAAAAGCTCCAATGACAAAGGATTCTACACTGCTAGGAGAAAACCCTCTTAGCTAAGCCATAATGAAGATCATAGAAAAGAACAGTAATCCGTGCTCTTTTCTGTTTCTCTTTCTTTCTCTTTCAGGCCAGTGACAGCACACAATCTCAACACCCTCCCTAAACACTACATGCTCTTCATGACTGTTTCCAGATACAGCACATACACTCTGAACCTGCTAAACTGTCACTTCCTTCAGCCGGCACTTTCATTTGGAAAATGACACGACACTATTTGCACATGAATAGGACT